CTAACTACAGCAGAGAACTTTCCAGACAGACAGTAAGTAGTGCAAGGAAAGAGACAAGCCTTGATCCCCACCCCACCCTTGTCCTCCACAGCCTCTTGTTTCATGGGCTGCCCTGAGAAGGTGAACGGGAGATCAGGGAGAGCTACTGTAATATTCCCCCAGTAAGAATGTTGATAGAGGCCTCTCTGCTTGAGGCTGGCACCTGCCTCAGCAGGAGCAGACCAGACTCCTAAAGCCTCAAACATTCTGCAGGGCAACCGCAGGGCTAGTGGCACTAAACAGTACAGGAGGGGAAGGAGAAAGCTCCTAGTGGCTGTGGCTGTTGTCACCTTCTTCATGGGTAGCTGCAAAAGTTAGCAGCAAGTAGGCGCAGAGCACCCAGGGATGCATTCTGGCTGGTAAAAGGCAACAGTGGCATCATAAACCAGGACACCGAGAGGTTCTCCCCAGGGCTTAAGGTGAAGCACGCCCTACTACTGGTGTCAAAACATAACTTATCAAACTGGGCAAGAACAATCTGGAATTGGGGCATCCTATGCAGAAACAGAGTGGAGAAGGGTGAGAACCAGTGGGCTCCACCCTTGGCACTGCCGGGAGCCCCAGAGCAAGGGCACTGCTGCTGCAGCCGTGGCCAGCTGTTCCATCAATTCCCATTCCAGAACAAAACTGCTTCCGCTGGGACAGGACAAGGGGTTTAATGTTAGGAGTATTTCAGAAGAGGGACGCCCTGTTGTGGCCTCCTGCAGACCCAGACAGTCAGTGGGGACCACAAAACATGGGCCTGTCCACAGGCACATCCCTGGGAGGTGTTTTCTGAGCCGCCTGAGCCAAACTCCTGCTTTGTGAACTGAGCACAATGCTCTCCCTGCTCACAAAGCCACTGACCACAGCGCCCCTGGATAACACATTCGTCCCCCAAGAAGGAACAAAGAAAACCACCGCCAAACTCCCCAGTGTGTCTGCTCCCCTGCCTCCATGCTCTTACATGTGCAGTGACCCCCAAAACATGTTCATGATGTCTCTTTCCTGCTAGGCCCAGAAGCTCCTCTCTGTGAGCACAGACACACAGGAGCCAGCCCTGCCCATCTCTCCAGAGGTCAGAGCCATCTCCTTCCAGCTGAGGCCACAGGACATGAAATGATTTCCCTCAATGCACTGTGCATGGGAGCAATGGCTTGGAGTCTGCCCACACGCCTCCCCTCAACTTGACCTCACTCAGCCCCCATCTTCTGCTCCCTCTGAACGTGCGCGGCATTCTACCGCCTCCTCCCAGTAACGCCCACATCCACTCCCAGGACCAGGGTGCATTGGCCCAGAATCCCTCTCAGGACTGGGGTGTGTCCCCCCAGATCCCATCCCAAAACCAAAGTGTTTCCCTCAGATCCTCTCTTAGGACCAGGGTACATCCACCCAGAAACCCTACCAGACTGGCGTGTGTCCACACCCAGATCCCCTCCCAGCACCAGGTGTGTCTTCCTGGATCTCCCCGCAGAATCAGGTCACATGCCCCCATACCTCCTCTCAGAACCTAAGTGCATCCCCGATCCTCTCCCATCACCCGTTGTGTTGCCTGGACGGTCCAAGGGGCTGGAGAAGGCTCTGAGAACAGGTGCTGAATGGAAGGGTGTCATTAATGAGATTAAAACATGAAAGGCAGATGCCTCCAACTAGCCATATGGTAAGGCTCCATCACCTGTCACTCTGGAGACTGCCGTTTCATGCTGACATGCTTGAGGCCTGGACAGGGCTGCCGTGGCCACCTCCAGGCTCTCTGGATGGCCAGGCAGGCCCCAGGCAGATGCTGAGGAACAAAGTGCCTGTATACCTGAGAGCCTCGAGAGCTGGCAGGGCCCCGCTGGGCCCCAAGTGCTCCCCTCTGCCTCCCCAAGAGACAAGGCTCCCTGAAGTGGCATCGGGCAGCAGGCGGCCAGGAGAAACCTCATTGCTGATTTCCAGCCATCTAGGCAGACAGTTATCATGAGATGCAACCCTGAACGATCAAAAGGAATCGACAGAAAAAATGCAGCGAATGTCAGGATGGCTGAGGTCTCAGGAACCACTCGGGAAAGTCACAGAAGGCATGTCCTCATTCAGTGTTCGTGTGTCAAAACATCAGCTCAGCTTTGAAGCAACAGAGAAAATCATGAAGGTAAACGATCCTTCAATTTGAAAATATAAAAGACTGAATTTTTAATGCAAGGAAAAGCAAAGCTAGAGGAACAGACCTGGGGAAATATGGGGACCCTTTCTGATGAGGCATCCGTGTTTCTGCTATACAGTGAGCGGTTCACTTGACTGCCAGGAAAGTCAGAACATAACGGGATGGAGGGTTGGAGTGTACAAGTCACAAAGAAATACAGAGGGTGAACAAGCACGAAGGAGTCGCCATCGGCCTTAGTAAACAGAAAGGGGCAAGGGAAACAGGAGGTGCCAAGTCCTCACACAGAGAGAGGGAGGAAAGGAGGGGGAAAGGCAGAAACCGACAGACAGAAGGAGAGGGAGAAGGGGAGAAAGACAGGGGCACACAGGGACACAGCACACTGCAGAGCAGCTCACGGGAACCCAACCCCTGGGCTCTCCCCCCTACAGGGCTGGGCGGGGCCTGCCAATCTGCATTCCTAATAGGCTCCCCACTGCTGCTGATGCAATGGCTGGCCTGGACGGCTATACAGAGCAGAGTGTAAGCAGACATCACTTATAAAGATGTAAAAGAGCACATAAATAAGATATAAAATTTGGGAAAATACCTCAGAAACTTGGGAGAGAAATGACATATTTACACTGCTAAAAATGTTACTCAGTGAATACTTCATGTGCATGAAGAAAAATCTCTCTGCGAACGTGGTATCTAAATGTCAGATGCTGAGAACACCACAGAATGTGCATTAAGGGAAGAAAAGGCAGATGTTTTAAATCACATTTATCACACCAGTAGCGATGTCTTGTGCAAAATGGCAAGCAAAAAGGCAGAAAATAAAATTATATATACACCAAAATGACAATTACATGGGGAAAAATACACATAAAGACAAAATCTAAACAATAAATAGCACTCAGCTGGGTTAACTGGATTGGATGAACATTTTGAAAAGGTCCTTCTTAAGAACGTTCTGCAGTTAAAACTCGGATGCACCTCTGAGCCTCCCTGAGTGTGACTGCCTCCTCCTAGGGCTGAGGAAAGAATGCCTTGCTCACGGAGCTGCTATAAAACCCAGTGAAATGCTGCAAATCAGGCAGCAAAGGCTGGACTAGACAATACTGGGAGGAAAGAGAGTACATAGGAGAGGCAGCAAACATCAGAAAAGAAATGAAAAAAGACCAACACAGAACGTGAACAAGCACAAAGGTATGGAAAAGGAGATGGGAGGGAGATAAAAGAGGAAAAGAAAAGGATGATTTAGAAATACACACAAGCAGGACCCACGAAAGAGTCTTTGCCTTCTCCACTACAGAGGATGTAGTTAAGGGGAGAACAGGGCTTCCAAAGATTCACTTGGGATCTTACGGAGGTAACAAAATAAGGCTATACACCTCTTAGAAAGCACAAAGGAGGTATCTCTCTCAGTGTGATTGACTCCGGTCTAAGAAAAAATGCTCAGGGCTCAGCCTTGAAAGATGCACAATTTATACATACATTGACACATTCATGCACACACATAGACAACACACATCAACACTTGTGCATACACACATATACACATGTCCATGCATATCACAAACACACAGACACAGAGGCATGCCCACACAGACACATGCATCTACATGAATACAAAGCCACACGCACATGCAACCACATGTCTGGATGTAAAGACACGAGCATGCATGCACACACACACGAGCACAGGCATTCACAGACACACATGCACACATGTACAGAGGCAAAGGCAAATGTGCACATATCCACACATGCAACTCCACAGGGATGCATGTGAACATACACACAGACACGTGCCACTGCCCACATATCGTCCACATGGACACATCCTCCTACATGTTCACATACACGGCAATACACACGCCATCTAAACACACATACATGATCTATTTCTCAACTATATCTTACTTTTATTGTAAATATTAGGGATCGAAACAATGTCTATACATGAAATGTGTATGTGTGTTTTTACATTTATATTCAGTATAATATCTTGTATTCACATAGTTGAGAAAGAAATCCTATCTGTCAGCCGCAGGCCTAAAACATCAGTAGTTTGGTGTCACAAAGGCCTGTGAGCCCCAAGGCTGGGGGGAGAGTCTAGATCCCTCCAGGGAAAGTTCCTGGAATGTGCCAGGCTTATCCCAGAGGCTCCCAGGTTGTCCCTCCTGAGCCTACTGGGCCTGCTGGGCACAGGTCCTGGGCAGCAGACAGGGAACACAGAAGAGGAGTCACGGAGGGCGTTGGGAACCCAGGCATGGCTCCCTCCAAGCCATTGCCCTTTCCTTCGTGGCTGTCTCATCCTGATGCCGGCCACTGGAGGAACCCCAAGGGCTGTGGGTGCTGTATCATGACCACCATGACCCCTCTACAATTCCCAGCACAAGGGTACCTCTGCCTTCCAGGAGTGACGGCATGCTCTGGGGTCAGCAACGCTGAGCCAAAGGCAGGGCCAGTGGGAGCCTCAGGCCAGTAGATCAGCGTCACCTCCTCGATCACATTCACCCGAGGCATGGCCAGGACCTGCCTCATCCTCCCTGGGCAGCTGACCTATTCCAGCTGCAACCGGAAGTCAATGCGCCCAAATGCTGTCCTCAGAGCAGCCCCTTCCCAGCACTATCCCATGAGCTGCTCAGCTCCACAGGGCAGCAAACCTAGCCTGCCTGCCCATTTGCTAACTAAAAAACCTCAGGGCATCTCCTCCACTGCCTCAAATACCAACATGTACCACTGGGAATTGTGGCCCATGTCACCACAGGGTAAACTGAGGCACAGGAAGGCAGCTCCCTCTACCTCCCCAGCACCACAGCCAACCCCTCTAGGCTGACTGGCCCAAGCCACTGACCTGCTTCTCGTTCTCATCCTCCAGCCTCAGCCGGTCCTCGATGCAGCTCCGGGCCTGGAGGAACGCCTTCCTCTGCGAACGCTCAGTCAGAATCCGCACGAACACCCCATACATGTTCACGCCGACAAAGAGCAAGGCATTGGCGCCGAGCTGCAGGGAGAGAAGGAGGCAACGTGTGGAGCCTGACATCCCGCACACATGAAGAGGGCCCAGGCCACCCAGAGAACATAGCATGAGCTCTCCAAAAGCCACGCCGCCCGGGCCAGACCCACAGCGCAGGCCGGGGATGCAGGGAGCCAGCCGGGCAACAGCTTGCCCTCACCCTGTCTGAGCAGCTGTGAGACAGCATGTCAGGGTATAAGGAGTAACCAGGCCTAGTGTCAAGGCCGAATTGTGTCCCCCAAAATGCATAAAGTCCTAACCTCCAAGACTCCGGGATGTGACTAATTGAAAACAGGGTCTTGACAGAGGCAATTAAGTTAAAATGAGGCCATCAGGGTGGGCACTAATCCAATCTGCCGGGTGTCCTTAGAAGAAGGGAGATGAGGACACAGACACAGGCAGCGGGAAGACCCCGTGAGGGCACAGAGAGAAGATGGTTGTCTGCAAGCCTAGGAGCAAGGCCTTGGGAGAGCCCAGCCCTGCCCACAGCTTGATCTTGAACTTCCAGCCTCCGGACTGTGAGATAATCCGTTTCTGTTGTTTAAGGTGTCCAGTCTGCTGCGCTTTGCTATAGCAGCCTCAGAAAACCAAGACCCCTGGAGAATACGTATGTAAAGAGTGGCTGTTCCCAGAAAGCTTGCACAAACTGCTGCGGAAAGATTCAGGAAAAGGTGAAAGGTGAGCTCACAAAAAAAAAAAAAAAAAAAAAAAGCCCATATGTTGATTTGAGTACACAGTGAGCACCAGCACAAGATGGGGAAATGTAGCATCCAGAGCCTGGTGTCTGCACACTGCCTCAGTCCTGTCCCCACTTCAGCTTCAACAGATGAGACACAAGGAAGGGGCTGCCAGCCAGAGAAGGGGCCAGCACTAGCAGTGTGTCCACACTCCAGGCTCAGGACCAGGCTCAGACCCAGGCATCAGGCACCAGGCACCAGGCACCAGGCACCAGCCTGACCCAGGGTTCCCCTCCACGATCACTTCCTGCTCCCCACTGCCTGCAGCTGGTCTCCTCAACTGTTCTGTCTCTACGTCTCGCAGGCCACTGGGCCTGGACGGAGGCACCTCTGACAAGCCATGCAGGGCCATGGCATGTCCTGCCAGGGGCCCTCAAGTGAGGGGCTGCAGTTTGTAAGTATTGTATGAAACAAGTGTCCCGTGGTCATTTGCAAAATTGGATAATTTTTTTGTCTGATTAAGCCCAGGCATTTCTACTTGTATGCCAGAGCTGAGCCAGCTGAGCCAGGAGCAGAAACCTGAAGGCTCCGGCTGTCACTGCTCCGCACGGATTAACCACAAACACCCCCACATGTAAATGTGTGCTGCACACTGTGAAACAGAACTAAAATCAAAAACACCTTCACACAGTAGTGTGGGGAGCAGCTGCCGCCGACAGGGAGCCAAGAGAGTCCAGGACGCGGACCCATGAGATGGAGGAGATGGGTGTCACCCTGATGGGGCCAACCTACAGACAGCAGGACAGGAGCCCCCAGACAGCTTGAGGAAGGAGACCTGACAGTTCCTGGCCACCTACTAGATGCTGGTGCTGAGGAGCAAGCGGGAGGGCTGAGACTGACCAGGGGTGGGGGCCACACGGAGGGGCAAGGACAGATTTGGGGCACCTTCAAACTCAAGGTGTATGACAATAGCCTCAAAGGTGCATCCATCACGAGGCTGAAAAACAAACCTAGGACCCATGGTCACATGCAATCTGGAAACATCAGAGCCACTCTCAAGGAGGTGACGCAGGGAAGGATGAGGAGCACAAATCTGCAGGGCCCCAGCTGACAGCCATCCTCTGCCTGACGCCTCCACAGGGGACCTGACCCTGGCCCAGCACAGCTCCCCACACATGTCAGACACACACTCACCTGACTCTGTGGGGCTGACGACATTAAACACCACACACTGGCAAAGGCATAGGCAGGAAGTTACCCCTGCCAGATGGTACCATCCTGACCACAGCCTCTGCAAGCCAGAAGTGGGATGGCTGTTGCCTGTGAGGGGTCAGAGAAGGCAGCAAGACATCCAATAGGATGGCCTCTCCCGGACCCTGAGCATCAAGAAGGTGACCTTGAAATCTCCACTATGACCCTGAAGATCTCTACCAGACCTGAATATGGCCATTTAGCTTCCCTCTCAGTGCATTTGACATAGCTGCTGTCATCATGGTGTGGATACCTCTCAGATCTGGCTTTTCCCACGAACAAAACTCAGAGCATGTTACGGTGTGTTCAGTGCTCAGAGTCAGCAAACACCATGGATGTCTGGAAAGGGTCAGGGATGGAGCAGGGTGTGGAAGACCACGGGCTATCGGACACCTGGGGTGCTGGAGCTGCCAGAGCTGAGCCAGCGAGGCCCCTGGAGGGGCCTGCACGGGAGACCACCACCCACTTTCTAAAGGAAGTGAAAGGCAGGTGGACCCCAGCAGTTAAAACAAAAACGATAATCAGGAACGATAAAACTTCCCTTGGAGATTTTCCACATCTTAGCTTCCTTTCTCCCCTGGTTTCCTCCTGGAACACAATGGGCTTAGATTACAAGCGTATGACAAAGAGTCCACGGGAAGTGGAAACACAGCACAGCTGGCAGGTCAGCTGTCAAGATGACCGACCCTCCCCGTGTGCATCAGAGCTGTTCCGTGCGGGATGGCAGCCCGAGGAGGCTGGGAGGAATGGCGGCCGGTCCCCCTCATCGCTGCACTACATGGAGGTGCCCCTGCAAGCCCTCCCGGAGCCCAGGGACCCCTTTGTCAGAGGGAAGCAGCCACTCCTCTCTTCCCATTAGCTTGCCTCCCCATTTCTGTTAGCTACAATCTATCCTCACTAGAATGGGGAACCATCACTACCTGCCCTTAGGATGTCTGAGGGACACTGTCACCAATGAAACCAACACTCCCACTGGAAGCTTCAGACCCCCATGGACCCTGGAAAGGAAAAGCACCATCAAACAACCCAGTACTCTATGAGCTGGGCACTGCCTCCCTTCAAAAAAAAACCCATGGAGGGGAGTGGTTGAGAAGGGATTGCTGTGGAAAGGACACTTCAGGAGAGCTGGGTGTCATCCACCCATAAGCACACGGCTCACCCGCCAGGATACGCACGCCTCGGCATTTTCCCAGATGAGCATCCTCATCCACCAAATGGACCCACTGCATTGGAATTGAGAATTCTAAATCTGTCCCCAAGGTCTGGAATTCTCAATTCTCCCAATGAAGCTCACTGAACTCATAGCTAGAGGGGCATTTAGGTCCAAAAGATGCATGTCCCAGGGCAAGACAATCATGATGTGGCTTAGCACACGTCACAATGACAAGAAAGGCAGGCTAGGGTCACCATGAGCTACTCAGGGATGAGGGCTCCAGGGGCTGCAACAGTCTGGGGGAGGGTCAGCCTCCCCATCACAGTCTGCTGGCCACTCCTGGAGCAGGGGATCCAACCCCGGCCCAGCCCCAGCCATCCGCACCCCACCATCAAACTCCCTGACCACATGATGGCCCAGAGCCACATGCTGCCCACACCACCCAGGCCCCGGGTGGCACCGGGATGCTGGTCTCCCAGTCTGGACACCCTCTCAAGCTCTCATCCCAGCAAGGACTGAGCTGGGCTGCAAACGAGGACAGGAGTCCAGGTGTCCTCACCAGGGTCAGGCCCTGCCCTACCCCTGTCTTCTGCCTGCACCATCTCTGTGCCTCAGTCTCTCTATCCAACAGATGGGCAGATTGATGGCAATTATAGTACCTATCAAATGACCTTCCCAAGGAGACCTAAGGAGAAACCCAACAAAGGACACTGCATGGGAGGCAGGTTAAGACTCTGAGGCATCAGGATGAGTCTGGAGCACTGTGCAGAGCCAGACAGGAAAGTGTTAAACACACACACTCACACACTTGCGCGCGCGCGCACACACACACACACACACACACACATGCACACACGCAATGATGGGGGTATGTCAAAGGACAGAGCAGCCAACTGAAAGAGGTCCCAATGGCCAAACAGCCAGCACTTGGAAACCTTCATGGGCCAGATTAACTCAGCCAGACAGCCGAGAAGAGAAGGGCTTCCCAGGGAGTCAGCTGGGCTGAGCACCAGCATGCTTGCAGAAGGCGACCATGGGGAGCAGGACCTGTCTGCAGGTCCTAGGGCATCTCTGCTTGATTGTGCAGCACCTGAAAACATCACCAGAGCCGGCTCGTCGCTATGAGAGGCAGGTTAGACTCTGAGGCACCAGGATGAGCTCGTGTTTGGCTTAATCCACAGATGGATACATATACAAATGTTTATAGAAATGTGCGTATACATATAGGTCCTAGCTCTGCCTAATGAAAGAAAACTAGAAGCAATGGCTCCCCAGGAGCAATAAGGACACCAGGAGGCCAGGTCATGGTCTTTAATAACATTCTCCAATAAAAGGAACTGGGAATCCCTGGAGAAATGACTGATACCTGGGCTCAGGCAGAGAAAATATTTGCTAATCAAGCAGATGGGCCTGGAGCACCTTGCAGGGTCAGAAAGTAAGGCAAGTGTCTCTCTCTCTCTCTCTCTCTCTCTCTCTCTCTCTCTCTCACACACACACACACACACACACATACACACAAATGGGGGGGTGTCAAAGGACACGAGAGCCAACTGAAAGAACTCCCAATGGCCAAAGTTGGAACAATTTGAGCAACACAAATCAGTATTGAATTGTAACCCAAAGTATAAAATAAATATCAGTACTGATATAAATCAATGATGAAATCAAAAATAAATGTAGGATAACAGGTGAATAGGCAAAAATTTGGAGCATTCCAAATTATTTATACTCCACCCTCAAGAAAGTAAACTCCCCACTCCTTCAGTATCAGCTCAGCACAGTGACTTTGGAAAAAGCACAAAATGGGAAAAAGAAGAGAAAAGAGAAAACCTTATGGCAGAGAAATCTCCCAATACCACCTTAGCCAGCTGGTAACTGCCACACCGGCCATGATGAGTCCTGTTGAC